GTTACTAAATTAGTCCACTGATTAATTTGGCATGGTTCCAGGTAGAATGAAGAGTACCCCATTCTGGGCGTGAGTGTTATCCACCCTAAGGGAAGGTAGGCTGGATAAGATATAAGTGGCAGAAAGAGGATCACCGTGGGTCACTTGTCACTTGTTGCTTGCTGCCATGCTGCTGTCTTCCTTCTGCTTGCCCTGCTTTACCATGAACAATTTCTCTTTTGCCATATGCCGCCCTGCCTTGGAGCCAGCCAACTATGAACTGAAAACTCTACAAACTGTGAGTCAAATAAACCTTTCCTCTTTTAACTTTCAGTGTCCGGTATTTTTGTCTCAGCAACAAGAAAAGACACCCCAATTCTCTAAAGTTAAGTTATGTAAAGCACTCATGAGAATAGGTTGATTAAACAATGAAGATGACTTTACCGGTCTCCACGGTTTTCACCATGGCCTACTCCTGACCTTCAGTCCTGACACTACCACACAGTGGAGAGTTCAACTGCCTCCTGAGTTCATCCTTACCTATGTGCACCTTTATGGTTCTTCATAGTTCTCTACCTTTTTTCTTGCTGTTCTTCCTCCCTCTTCCTCTTTCTTCTATCTTTTATTCTCTCCCTTTTTCTTTCTATGAAGACAAATTTCTTTTTTAAGAATCCACACCAGGCACACTAGCTCCTGTCAGGATGGGGTAATAAATTTAGAATGTGTCCAGGCTATAGATATTTCCCTTCCACCTGAAGAATGCTTCCAAGTGAAAACAGTCTTCCCAGAATTTCTCTAATCTACTCTGCATACTTCATTTATTAAATTACAAATTCTTCTATGCTACTACAAACTACTGTAAACTGTATCTTACGAATCTTTGGACTCCTTTCATCCTCTGTCCCCAGTACCTGATATACGATGGGAATTGATAAATCTTTTCTGAATTTAATGGAAAAAACTGAGTATTTACTTTGATGATTAGGCTACTAGTTTCAGCTTGGAAAAATGAATTTCTTGTTTATTGTTCCTAGTTTTCAAAGTCTATTGACCTCCTAGTCTCATTTCTTCCTTGAACTTCTCTCTTCTATTTTTGGCTAAATGTATCTTCCTTTTTTAAACTCCTATGATACTTTTTTCTTTCTTTATTCTACAACACATATTTTAACTCCTGTAAGTTTTAGATATGTTTTCCCTTAATCTGGAGAGAAGGTAAGGGATGGGACGTACTCCAAATCAAATAGTTACACTATGAAATAAAGGGAAATATAAAATTCAGGTAACATGATTACAAACACTATATAGAATCAGCTAAAATTTTCCTCAGAAGGCTATATTCTTTACAACTTACTTCTTGAGAATTGCACTACATTGATTTGTACTACAGTACACATCATGTTACATCCTGCTGGCATCTGTTTATGTCTTAGTTCTGGTGATTTTATTAAAATGACAGAAAAATGTGTTACAAGCAATAATGCAGTAAAACAACTATTCCAAGAATACCTATAAAATAATTTTCTTATGTAAATTTATTCATAATTGGCATATTAATTTTGTTTTAAAATAAAATCATTATAGAAAAAGTATCAAATCCTCAGGGCTGACAGTGTAGCTATATGATATGGTATATGGTTAGTCTGCATGAGGCCCTAAATTTGACCCAGAAAAAAAATTCTCTTTTAATCAAAGTTTACAGTATCTTCTTAAAATATAAATTGGATTTGCCTACAATTTAAAAAGCCAAGGATCAATTGCTTTTAAATCTTAAATAATTTCAACAGGGACAAGCCATTTTATGAAACTGCTGCCTCCACTTCCACTAATTTTACTACTTTTCCATTTTCTTTCATCTAGAATGAGTGGATATGGGATGAATTGGATCATTGTTTAATTGGTTGCGGATTTTTTTTTTTTTTTTTTTTTTTTTTT